GTTTGCCAACATGCAGATCTTGCTCAGCGCCGCCAATCAACATTCATTAGCTAAAACAGATAACGTAAGAAGGCCTGCCTTGTGGCAACATTTGTCCTGTTAACTTAAACTAGCTTTCTACCATGGTAAACAGTACAGACGTAGGTACATTATCACAGCAAGCTAGCGAGTGTTCAGTTTGCCACGTTTAAATATGTCGAAGACTTGTTAAATGAATGATACAACAACGAAGTCTCTACCTTTTAGCTGCAGAAAATAAATTAACCTGTGCAGACTGTGGCGGTCGCCAAACTGTTGAAAGAACTATACTATAAGCCGTCGGACAAGGCATAACTGAAGCGAAAATTATTAAATGTTTGCGCATAGGTAAGCAATGTGGGCATGCAATCAAAAGACAACATACTATGTTGAATATCTCAACGCAAAAATCTTAACCAAGAAACTGCTTAATGGAACACACACTCTAGTGCTCTACAACACAACTCTGAAGCATCAGGACCTGCACCTACAAAGTTTCGTTTAGGTGGCTACGCAGAGGCTAGGTACAACCCAGAGAAATGACATGCTTGTATCAGTAGCTAAATTAGATCAGTTAGTAATATGAACTAGCTTTGTCTTTGTGCCCAGTACCAACTAAATCTGCCAACTGCACGCTAACGTCACAATCCATATGTAGTTATGTTCCCGAGCCAAAACTGTATAAATAACTAGTTAGCTAACTTAATAATAGCTAATCTGCGCGATTCCACTCAAGTCTAAGTTAGAGATTCACTAGCTACTTGGCGACTATTGTTGAGTCGGCAGCAACCTAGTTAGCAAACGGCGATCAAACAGCATCGCTTACTGCTGGGATGTAGATGCACTTACCCTTCATGTCATCACAAACAGCATACGATGTTAAATGCAAAAGAATCAAAGCAATCAAGAGAAACGTGATCTGAACCATTGTAATGTGCGGTGTGTGTTGTAACTATAGCTCATGCAAAAAAGAGCGGAGAAACCCGACAAAGAACATCTCAAACACGATAAACTCTAGTGGGCCAGTTCCCCCAAGAATGTATCAGTCACGCTGTGTCAAACGGTGTCAAGCCAGCAACATTACGGATTACTTCCGGGTGAGGACTTTAGCGTCAAAATAAAAGCACTCGTTTGGAAACGGAATACGGTGAACCAGCACCATGTAGAGAGAGAGAGAGCGATGCGTCAACGGAAGTTCAAAATGCTTGATCGTCACGTGATTCACATAGACTTCCCATAGTTCCAGGAAGTTGTTGGCGGGTTTGAGTGCGTAAATAGAGGGACGGAACTGCGATTTTTTGGTAATTAGTAGTCAGTAAATGCATTGATTTACAATATTTATATAACACACCGACATGTGTATGTAGTTACATCAATATGTTTTTTTTAAAAAGTAAAATTCGGTACTATTTGAGGATTAGTGTGAACAGCTAGCGTTACCTGCCTTGTTGAAATATTTTAGGCTAACGGGTTAAAGAGCGTGTTGCTGTTGTTCATTGCTTTGAATTCTTGTTTATTATTATTATTCTGTTAAACTTGTATGGTAGTCAAGAGCAATCGTATCCTAATGTTTATTGATATATTTAGAGGGAGGGGAAGGGATGTTTCAAAATTCTTACTTTTTACTTGGAAAAGATTAATTTTCTAACATTTCTTTAATTCATGGTGGTTTCAGTAATCCCATGGTAACTGAGGGCCTTAGTAATCTTACTGACTAATGTAATCTTTATGACTTTCAGATAGGACAGAAGGAGACCGACAGGTGACTATCAATGATTGTCATGAATTCATTAAATAAATCTCTAATAAACTCAGAAACATGAATAGCATGTCAAGCAGTTTGTCTGTGCCCTTTCCTCCGTGTTGTCCTTGCATATAGTCTCCACCATGGTTTGCTGTGTTGCATGGGGATGCTCCAATCGCTCGGAGAAAGGAGTACGAATGTACTAATATTTAACTCCCCCTACCCCGCAAAAAATCACGTTTAGAAGCCCTTTTCTCTAATTCCACAACGTTGGATGAAATGGCATTAAGAGAACGGAATTTACAATTAATAGGCTGTTCGTGGTTAATGTTATGTGTTGCTAACTTTATCCAGTATCCTAGCCTAATCTGTTATCTGTTAACGTTCCCTAAATCTACTAATTTAGTGGGGGATACTCCACTAACATGCTTTAATGCACATGTTAATTTGATTCAGATGTGCTGATAATATACAATCTGATTGTTTAAACGTCTTACCCTTTAAAAGTGCATCACAAGCGGTCTATTCTGCAGCTCTACTGCGCTGCTAGTATTTGCTGCTAACTTCCGGGAATTATTGAGAGGCTCCACGATCCGCCATTGCTGGATTAAAAAAAGGTCCATTGGAGAGAACGGAGATGACGCGACCCTCTCTCTACATGGCTCTGGGCGAACCCTTCTATTCAGCCATACGCCCTCTAAGCAAAATTAATTTGAACAGAAGGCTTTATCTTACAAAGCGTTGCTGGATTTTTACTACAGCCCAATAGGCTCCTGTGGCACCCCTGTGCACATATTGTATGGCAAATGTATCTGGCTGGTTTGACATGAGTAAGCTGTCTAGATGGGATGCCACTGGAGAAACGACTAAGGTTTGAGTAAACAGAAAGCACATTTTGTTGTTTTATTATGTAATGAAGGTGTCTACCCATTCAGCGCACCATGTCTCAGATCCCACTGCATTTATAATCAGTAAGAAGCACACAAAGTGCAGTAAAAAAGCTGTCCAATACCATAAAGGATAAGTACAGGATTTGTCTAGCAGTAATGCATTTTCAGTATAGATGATTAGTGACAGATCTATAGTTTTGTAGAAATCAAATATGAAAGTCTTTAATAGGGACAATATGGATATGTATTTCAGGCACTTCTGGAGAATAGAGGCAGAAACAGAGCACCAGTTCTAGATTTCTATGTCTTATGAGCATGCAAAAGTAATTTAATTCAACAAGCTATTGACCTATGTAAAACATGACACAATAGTAAAGTTGAATGGTACAAAGTAATTCTAATTTGGTAAAGAGTCTTGTCAAACTTAAGTGCTTCTGAGATGGAGCAAGGTAATTGCTCTGATAAGCTGTAGTGCACAGTTTTTGAAATGCAATATATTTATAGAGAAAATGAAGTCTACTTTTACTGAATATTTTGACCAAATACAGGTGCAGTTCATCAAAAATCAATGAGCAATCCACAGAGAAGAAGCTTTTGCTTTGGGCAACTGCTTTTAGAAAAGGTTTTTAAAATAATATTCTCTATATACTTCCAATCTGGTCCTACCAGAAACCCTGTATAACCATGTTTGACAATACAAGTACAGGGTGATGACAATCCTATTTCTATGGATTAACATAATGAAAGGGCAGTAGGAGTTATGTATTTATATGAAATATATATATATATACGGTACATCACTGGCAAAATTACAGTAATGGGCAAGTATAACCCTGTGATTCTTACTCTGATTCAGATATTGTTTTCAGATCTTGTGAATATTTCCCCAAACAGCTGGACAGTAGTCCACGGCCACCCTGCATATTTTTGAATCAGTTTTAAATGAAAGCTATAGAAGATTATTCAGAGCTAGTCAAGTATAACACTGCAATCCAGTCTGATATGAGGTACAAAATAAGCAATCGTGTACATGTACTAAAAGATGCTAAAATTATGGATTCCTTACCATAGGAAGAAAATGTCACTCTTTTACTATATCTGGAATACTTTACTCAGTGATAGTTGACATGATATGGAGCTATGAATATTTTTAGTGCCTGAACTTTGTACCTTTTAACCTAAAGCAGTGTTTTTTGGGGACAACATGAATAAATTTATTCACAATGGCATGAGAAAGTGTTTTCTGTATGTATTGTTAGAACTAAAAACACTTCATCAATACTATTTTTAAAATGTTATTTGGTGCATTTTTAAAGATATATCTGTATTGTGAGTTAGAGCTAATGGGAAACAAGCAATCAAAGACATGTTGTTTAAAGAGTTATACTTAAATGCTTGAAATTTCTTTCTTAGTTTGGTTTGTTCCCTAATCTTGCTCATTTGCTTATTGTATCAAAAGTCATTGACTGCAGGACATCGAAAAAGATCCTAAACATTTCCATCTTCAGTAATGTAGCTCTTAGTGATGTAGAATGGACCAGTTACAACGTTCATGTCTGTCAAACACACAATGATATTAACTGTTTCATACACTGTGTTAACCCTTGAGTAAAGCAGGTTGATATAAATTATATATGGTTGGGTAACCTCTATGTGGCTGCACAGCAGAGGAATCATAGCTTCTAATGCCATCATATACATTGGACATGTTTTACCTGGTGGGTGTTAAAAAATGTGTTCCACCTGTAATGCTTCACTGCTTTTGTAAGATTATGAGGAACAAAGGGACACAGGGCTGCAGGTAGGAGGAGAGGAGCAAGGGGCGGAGAGAAGAGAGGAGGTGGGATATGCAAAGAGCTGATGCTACAGCCGAGCGAGGCTATAAGGTGGATCATACCCAGCATTTGCTGGTTTGAATCGGTTTGTGGAGAGTAGGCGTGGATATAGGAATTTCCTGTTCACCCCAATCTTCAGTCATTAAACTTCCATCAAACAAAATGTAAACAAACGTCAGCAGTTACAATCTAACACTGATATGTGAAGGCTCACACAGCTCCTTAATGAGGAAGTGCCACAATATGCCAGAGAGCACAGAGGAAGTGAAGTACAAAGCCATTTTGATAAAATCATCAGGAAGGAATGCAACGGGCTGTCCTATTAATAGCATGGTGGGGCTTTTGACAAATGTCTTAATCAAGGTCATTTATGTAAACAACATTGCACAGACCTAGCTCACTTACCATTGCTCTTTGTATACGACATCCCTTTTAATCCACCTTTATATAAATTATTTCATTCTTAATTGACTCTTATTTTCAGTTTGATTATGGGTCTCATGACTAAACCTGGGCTCTGTGGTGCAATGAACAGCATGTTGGACTTCTAGTCAAACACTGTGAGGAGTGATGCAAAGGTTGTGGGTTTGAGTCCCACCAGCGTCTAAACGTTCGACTTTAAAAAGGTTCGAGTGGAAAAAAGAAATTGGAATGGCATACTGATATCTGTAGACCCGATAAAGACGTCTTCTTGTCTGTATAATATGGGCGACAGTGTAGCATAGTGGATAAGGAACAGGACATTTGCATCAGTAAATATCCAGATGTATAAATAGATAAAATTGTAAAAAAGTGTAACCTATGTAAGTCATTCTGGATAAGCGTGTCTGCTAAATGCCAATAATGTAATGTAAACCTGCAAAAAAAAATGCAAATATATGATGCCATCAACCCAAGAAGTAAAGAAATTGTTAACTATCCCTTCAATAATTACTTAATAATTATCATTACAAAAATTTTTTGTTAATGGTTTAAAAATCATTTCAGATAATTCTTTATGCACTCTTGTATATAGCTTATGTCCTCAAAAAAAAACCAAACAAACCAAAAAAAAGCGTATTCAGCATATTTTCAGCAATTGTCACGTTCTTTCCTTGTTGATGTACACAGTACATGTGACTGCCATTTTAAAGTTGCAAAATTGAATTTTTTGCCAAAAGCAGAACACTGCCATATTCTTCAAACTATTAATGGCCTGTATATGTAACAATGACTGTATGTCAGGCTTTCTGTCAATTATGTACTTTCATTCATATATGAATATACATTGTGAAAGTTCAAGCCTACCTTGCTACCTTCTGTAAGGTGACATACAAGGTTAACTTGTTGCAATGGAAATGATAGGGAATCCACTTAAAAATATTCCTGTGGCATGTTGACGTTATATTGAAATATTATTTGTATTTTTAATATTATGGTTCGGATTTTAGCTACTTAGTGAGCTTGCCAGCTCTCATGCACAACCAAGATGGCAGTCATCTACTTTCTGTCAAAAGTAGGAAGTGACTTGCTGTTGACTACAATAAATAAATGTGTATATTGCCTATATCAATTAATTAATCTATCGATTTTTATTTTTAAATGGCATTTTTGCAATGGAAGTTGACACAAATCACCGAACATAGTGAATATGAGGAGAAACCAGCAGTAAGAGGCATAAAATTGTGGATCGAAGAATTTTTTAATGATTTCATTCTGGAAGAAAGTGAAACTGTTTGGCCATTTATTATGGTTACATAATACGATTTTGTGCAAATGCACAAAAATAAATCTGCGTTATGGGTAAGACCTCAGGGTCATTGTGGTTTTTGAAGTGCAAAATACTGTTTTTGCTTAATGTGTATGGTGTATGCCCTGGCTTTAGCAGATGGCGTACTTGCAACATACTACCATTCCTCCCTGAATAAAACCACTTTCTTGCCATTTTAAGTTTGTGGATAAAACCTACATCTTTAAAACAACATGAAGAGCACAGGGTTAACTGAAATTTTGTAAGCCTTTAGATAACAGTGGTCTCTTATCCTCAATCCCTCCTGACATTGAGGTTTCATGGTATATTGGCGTTCTCCCTCGACAGACTCCCGCAGATAGACACCGTTGTACCGTCACCCCTGCTACTTAAATACTACAGATATATAATAAATTAAAAAATGCAGCTGCGGAGATACTCCGTACTCCTCTAAATCAGCTGCTCGATCCGCCTCTAACTAAATAGCGGTGCGACCGAAACTTCCACGCCCAGCTCATTATCAAAACAATAACACTACCTCGGCAGCAAACAATAAACATGCAGCTAGCAAACTAATAGAGCTTAAACATTATGTGAAAAGGCTACAAGCTTTTTGTGGACGCTCGTTCCACAATTGATGAAATACAATCTTCCCCCTGACACTCACGTTTCGTGCGCTCCGACACTGGACTTGAGAGACAGTGAAGTGGAGGCTACCTATACAATTTCACCATTATTATGCCAGTGTCATAGCCTGAAACTAACACAGAGCGATCTGCTTTATTTCCCTCCTTTTAAAATCATATTCTGCTTCGTTTCTTTTTGCCCATTGATGTGAAGATAATCCTGCTTCACTTGTGGCATCTTTGCTTGGCATAACGCTGCTTGAGTATGGCTGTCTGTCACATTTACCAGCAATAATCTCACCGCGCTTGGTCAGGCCAGGTTAAGGTATTTCTCTCGCAGCCAGGCAGATAGAAGCAGACACTCGGAGACATCTCTCAACATGCTGCTCTGTGGTCAGGCAGTTGAATCCCCTCCAGGTATCTGGGTGACCCATTTCCTCAAAACTCGATTTTAACTCTGCAGATTTCAGAAACAAATTATTGAAGTCTCATCCAAAACCACCCAAATGATATTCATGGATAAAGTGGCCGGCACCCTTTTTAGGTTACCCATTCTACATTTGTTTTTATTGTTGCTGCTTTGATAACTGATTGGCAAACCATTGCTCAAAACACGTTTAATTAATTTCATGCAATCAATTTGTAATGTGTTGTTATAGTTATTTCATTTTAATCGTCGTTATGGGGTCAGCCTTGTACACAAGTATTGAAAGGCTACGTGTAGCAAAGGCGTGTGGTTTGCTATTTTTTAAGATCTCCTCCAGGTGGTATCCATTCCGTGTTTTCCTTCGATCTCTTATCCAACTGAGCGCTGTCTGATACATACAAGTGTAAGGAAATAACAAAGAAAATATACAAGAAATCAAGAGGAACTGCGGGACCAATTCTATTGCTAGGGGATATTGAATAGAAAATAGAAAAGAAACGTTAATTAAAACCATATTTCTAAAGCGCACATATTTCTGTGTTGTGTTCCACATAGCCCACATAGAGAGATGCGGCGGCTTTAATCTGACACATTTTAGGAGAGGTGTCTTCAGAACCGTTACGCGGTTACGGTAATGCGCACATATTTCTTAACATTTTCCTATTGGAAAATTTGAGCTCTTGTGCGCAGACATGTTTATTCATTGATACAGAAGAAACATTTCTGCTTCGTTGCTGTGATTGTAATAATTTGTGATTTATTGGAGGCCCGTGGAAGCGATGTGACGATGCTTTCCCGTAAGGTATTCAGTCGCATTTTGAAATTACTTATGTAGTATGCAAAGAAAGGCGTACTTTATCACCATAGTCTCCGATTGTTTAAGGTTAGGTACGTGGATATAGTGGATCGATACAGCGTGCGGTAGTTTTCTTATTGTATTATCATACTGCAGGTATGAGCTTAAATTACGCATGCAGAAACTGTTGTGCCCACAACGTTTAAACCTATGAACAAGCTCTGAAGTCTTTCTGTGCGGGATGCGGACTAAATTTCTGTACATGACGGAATGGTAAGTGTTCCGTTCCATAATGTCCATATATCTAAGAAAATTGATAAATATTCAGGGAATAACCTATTGTATACTAAATATTGTACATTTAAAAATGACCGAACATGTGAAAAGATTGTTATTCTCAGATATAATTTCAACAGAGAAAATGTCTCACGCAGACACTATGGTGTGTGGTTTTTCTTGAAAGATACAGATCCTCAGACTCCGGAATTCTACGACTTTAATGGCTTTTGTGTTGAGAAGATGGAAACTGTTACTTGTGCTGAATGTAATTGTTGTGGCCGGATTTATGACTTTTTGGGCCAAGTGCAACTCGGGCACGATCAAAACCGTTGGCCATCACTCCTCGGCTGATGCGAAAAGACACGTTCGCCACAACCTCACCGTTCAAAGATCAAGCATCAGCCATGAGATCTTGCTGAAGAGACTTGGGGCTCTGGAAGACGTTGTCTACAGACAACTTAATGGTAAGTCACATCTCATTCCATTCCCGGTCATTGTGCACTTGTAGATTTAGAGATAACCGTCAGTTACAGGCACTGCTCACAATATGAACACTTGAACAGTCCTCCTGGCCACGCGCCAGGTTATAAGAAAGTGATGATTGTAGATCACGTTTTTATTGCCTTAAAATATTAATTTTAGGAACCATCTCGAAACAAATGAGGTTATTGATCATATAGTGAAAATTTTGGCAGACTGCTTGTGTGTGTGTGTGTGTGTGCGCGCATGCGTGTGTGTGTATGTGTGTGCATGTGTATGTGTGTGTTTTGGTGTAATGAAAAGGGGGCTCCTCAGAAATACAGCTTTTTGCTAAATGTACACAACAGGTTTGTCCAAGTCTCTCGGGCTCACCGAAGGCTTTGGGGGACGAGGCAGGGAAGGCTTGCCTGCAACCCTCAGTCCTGCTGAAGAGACCAATGCCAAATACCAGAGGGAGAAGTATGGCTACAACGCCTACCTGAGCGACAAAATCTCACTGGATCGATCCATTCCCGATTATCGCCCAAGCAAGTAAGTGTTGGAGTACTTCCAGTAGGTGCTGTGAACCTGAATGCACAAATCAATGCAGACTACCTTGTTCATGTGTTATGTTGATATATTTGGGCAAGGCACTGTTTTTAAAGTTAGGCATACTTACTGTGCTGAGGACTGAGCACAACTGATGCAGGGGACATCGTGACTGTCAGGTTTCCACTCCACATACAGTATGTAGTGCTCAAAGATTTTGAGAACAGTACATTTAGTCTGTAAAATATTTATTGATGCACATAAAATCTTTGACTTTTCCACTATGCAGAAAATGAAAACCTAATGTTTTTAGTGATCAGGTAATTTTCATCAACCATAGACTGATAAAACCTAAGCACTGCTGTGCTCTTACATTACTTTGTTGCCATTTTGCAGACACACTTATCCATTTATATTTTTATTTATTTATTTTTTTTTTTTTAACTGAGGCAATTATTAGGTAAGTACCTTACCCAAGGGTGCCCACCAGGGAGTTGAACCAGCAACCTTTTGGTTACAAGCCTTGCTCCTTACCACTACACCACAGTGCTGCTCTGCTTTTAATACAGTTTTTTACAGTTACACAGAGAGATCCTTTCTCACATGTTATAAGTGTGTTTGGGCAGTCTGTCTGCAGCCATGTTGGTTCAGAAGTATGAATGAATATTGTGAACATTTTCTGGCAGTTTGCTCATAAAGTGATAATGCTGGTGTACATTACATGTATATTTCTGTACTTCT